AGCTACAAGAAGCAATTCTACTAGCCCACTGCTTAAAACACTTCCTGCCAGTGGCCTTTTAAATAACTTTCTGTGATCTTTGTATTGTGTTCATGGTGTATTGTTTGTTGTCTGATGGTTATGTTGGTTATGCATTTACTGCTGGCTGTACAACAAATTGCCCTTTGTGGATAATAAAGCTATCCTTGATCCTGTTGAAATACCTCCCCTACTGAGCAGGTCGGCAGCATCGTCTCTGCTGAAGGAATCACAGAGGCTTGTGATGGCCAATGAAACTTTTATCTTGTGTGTCACCTTCTGAATAGTTATCAGTCCAGTCTTTGTGGGTTAGTTAATTGGCCGCAGCTGATGCCAGAAAACTTTGATGTGTTATTCTTCTCTTGTTGTACCTTTTTAATGTAGTTCCTTGCTGTAACCAGAGCCCGGCAGCCTCTAAGCAGCAGCCAGTGATGTTGAATGTGTTGCTGCAGGGACTGTAAACATGTCACTACCATCACACTCAGACAGCCAGACTGACTGTACATTGCACATTCTTTGATCTGAGTATAGATAGTGTTCTGTACTTTGTCTAGAAAATGTTGGTCTGTATACTAAACTTGTACTGATTCAGAAGGTATTGATATTCATGGAGGAAACTTTGGTGTGAGTTCCAGGCCTGCAAACTCAAGTGGTATGAAAAAGAGGATAGTTCAGGAACTGTAAATTAAATATCTTTGGGTTTTGGACTGTTGGTCAGACAAGTTATTTGGAGATGTGACTTCAATCTCTGGGAAACTGTGGAGGGTAAATCAACATTAGACAAATAACTGTTAGTTGCAACCCTAATCATTTCCTCAGTCTTTTTCGCCTGTGTGGGTTAGTAATTTCAAGTGCTTCTTGTCCCTGCTTAAGAGCGGGGTAGTCCAAAAACAGAGCTTAGCCACTTAGTGTCACTTTCTTTTCCGAGATCTCTTCTCTCCCTCTCTATGGCTGGTAATGAAACTCCACTGAACTCCACTGTGTGATCATTTTACTGCCTATTTGTAGAGTTAACATGATGTGTGTGTGTGTGTATTTTGTATTGAAAACAATAGGCTTGGCTACACGCTGATACCTACAATGTCTTGTGAAGCAAATTGCTCGCATCACACTGCATAGAAATCGGTGCTTCACTACACACTGCTTTTAGTTGGCTCTATTTGGATAACGTAGTGTTAATGTAGCTCAGTCAAACAACAACATTAACCCTAACAGCAGCTGAAAACAAAGGTGCTTATATGCTTATGCCACTATATGTAAATTTAATTTGATTATCTCTCCATTTCAGATAACTCTCATGTCATATCACTCAACCCTAATTAACAACCAGCTATGTTGCACTCAATGCAAATTTAAGCACTGCACACACAAACATACAAACCTGCGGGAGGTGATGTGCTGTAATGTTCTTCCTAGTGAGCTCCAGAGTGAAGGCTCTCACATTTTCTTGCCAGTTGCAGGCTTGCTGGACACTGGCCTCAGAGGAAACTCTGCCCTGATCTACTTTGTGCCCTTGGCAAAAACTTGAGCATAGTACAGTAATGTGCCTATCTGGCTGTGACACTGTGACTCAAGTTTTCCATATCAGGCCAGACAGAAGTCCACACAGACTTGGCTGGCTCTGTCTTTGGTGAGTGAAGTCTCTCTGGACCGCGGCTGAGCTTCTCTTCCTCACTGCCAGTTAAAGAGGCCATCTGTAAGACTTACCCGAGCTGGGGGAGGACCCGCCAGGCTCCTGATTAAAGTGATGAGCTGTAAAATCGAGAGGGAGGGGGGGCGACAGCCGGCTGCTGCCTGCTACACTGAGCTTCATCATGTCTGCTCGGAGGATGAACCTTCCCGCTCTACCTGTTTCCTCCTGTCACTGTAAATGGGTTTGTTTATGTCTACAGCCTGACACCGGTGTTTGTTGGAGACTGTTAGGGTGCACTTTTTCTCATTCTGCTGCCATCAATTCATCATTATCAGTGAACTGTCATGGTGTGATAACACCTAGTTTTCTTTGGTTTGGACAATTTTTGTAATTTTGGTTTTCATTAGGTTTTAATTGCAGCAGAATTTGTAAACAAACACAGACAGACTAACACACTTTGTGTGTGTCAAATTTAATAATGTAAAGTTTGTGTCTACAAGCCCTTTGTCAAACAGCATCTGTTAGCAGGTTTTCTCCCTAGCTCTTATTATAGACGTGTAAACAGACTAATTAATCCAAATTATGTTGGAAAACACATTTTCAATAGTAAAATGAGGATAATAAAAAACTATGGCAAAAACTTCAGATCCAAATTTTTAAAGCTGTGTGAGTGAAGAAGGATGTCTGAGTTTATTATGATGATAAGATGACTGAGACAGCACTTTGTGACACTGGCCTTACTCAAACGAGCTGACCTTACATACCAATAAGAATCACAATTCAAAGAAGTCATAAAATCGTATTTTAACATGATTAAATCTTTTCCAAGAAAAATCAACAACTATATTGTCCATTCTTTCATGTATGAACAAGTTACATGACATGCTGCTGTCAGTAATTTCATAGTATTTGCTCTTTTCATTCAAAAGTAAATAAAGTAAATGTTTTTTAAAATATATCAACATTAGTGTCATTCTTTTAATAATCCGCTTTTTATGCGTTCTCACTCAAAGTTTTCAATTCAGTGTTTCTTCTAAGTATGAGCACTTTGCCTAACATTTTCCAATTTATGTCACGTCTAAACCACAGAGCTGGCAGAACCGAAAACACTTACACTGATCAGCTATGACATTATGACCACCTGGGCACTGACCCACTCGTCTAGCCATCACAATGTGGCCCTTGTCAAAGTAGCTCAAATCCTTACGCTGCCCATTTCTCTGCTTCTAACACATCAACTATGAGGACAGAATGTCCACTTGCTGCCTAATATATCCCACCCACTGATAACCAGATAATCAGTGTTATTCACTTCACCTGGCAGTGGACATAATGTATATATGGTTTGGGCATTTATTTAAAGCAGTGACTAACCACCTATAGTATTTTGTTATTTAGGTGTGAGGACTTGTCGTCTTGCCAGTATGCCAGATCCAGAAATGCTCAAATCAGTCTTGCAAGGCAATGGAAAACAACTGTTTTATTTGTTTAGGTATAAGGATATTGCATTTTAATGTTGTTTGGACATGAACTCAAAATAAAATAAAAATTCTGGTGTTTAGCTTCTCAGCATTTGAGTCAGTTGAACCATGGATCTTCCAGCCCTGGCTTTATTTTGAAGGGTCATGAGTTGAATTACTGCAGATAAAATACCATTTAACTTCCCATATTATTTCTAGCAGAGCTCACATGCACAGGAATAAGGGTCTGCTTTGATTTATTTGCTCATTACTACAATTTAGTATTAATTAAACATGTGAAGAATGTGACCTTCACTGTATTAAGCTCTTACATGAGGAGCAACAGCTGCAGTTTGAATGGGATTGAATTAATGTGGAAACAATTTGTTGACCTTGATGTACAACACACAGTTCCTTTTTTGTCTGTCAAGTGAAGGTAAAAAAACAAAAACTTGAAATCTGATTTTAAAGGGGTGATCTAATGACATGTTGGAGAACCAGGGGCAAGGGAAGTGGCACTCCATCGACTGGGCTGTGACAGCAGGGAGGCTGAGTGTGAATGCAGGCGGGCCACTGTCACCCTGGGGAGTTTTAAAAGCCCTGCGCTGAGACAGCCACAGGCTCCTCTCCACTGGACTGTCTGTCATGTACAGCTGGGAGTGTGGAACCACAGGAGCCTCTCGTTGAGATCCGTCATCAGTTCTGGTGGCTCAGACAAGTTTTTCCTGTTTGTTAGATTTCCTCCTGCATGCATATTCACATCTACAAAAATGCTTACATTCCTAGATTTCCTAGAGACAGCAGAGTCATGTTGTGTCTTCCAAATCAACAAAAACACTTACATCATACATACTCATTCCTTAGTTTACATGGTTTTTATTTTTTTGTTTTATGCAAACATATACCTATTTTCTTGTACATTCCCCATATTTAGTTGGAATGCAGTTTAGCTTTTTTTCTTGGCACATATGTGCTGCTCTCCTCTGAACTCTCAGCTGTTTATATTCTGACACTTGTCACTCATCTTCATAAACTGTCATCTTACCCGAAGTAACCATCATCTGCATATAATAAGGTGTTGGAGATGGAAACACATGCAAAACCATTAACAAATCACATTGCTGACATGTATGCATCCATGGAATGCTAATTACAAGCAAATAGAGATTTCTGTATAAATACAGGGTCACACACTGGACTGTTTAAAGCTTATTTGTCAATGCTTTAAATGTCAAAAGCTTTCTTATCACTCTGTAGTTTTATACCATTCCTTTCAGCAATAATAACACACCAATGCTCTGAGATCTGAGAACATGGCAGCATTTCTAAAGTCAGACAAGAAACAATGTTTGAAGAGAAACTGAAGGCAGAAAGTAAAATTAAGACCCAAATTGACTTCCTGGTTCAAATTTGACCTCCTATATTTAACATAATGCACATTTATTATTAACAACATTTCAGGTGCACTGGCTAAACTGTTGGCTTGTTTACAACCTGTCTAATCATCTGACTACTAGTGTTTTGATAGAAATGATGACTAAAACTTCAAGAATAAGACTGAAATTGCAATTAACTTGAATCTTTTAAAGGCAAAAACTACAAACGCGTGGACGAGAGCTCTGTCCAGAAATAGCTGTAGCTTGTTGGCATCAACAGATTTTCTTTTTGTCAGACACAGACTGCCACAGAGATCTGCCAGATCTGCTGATGAGATATCCAGTATATTCAAAGTGTAAAGGTGTTACTTTATGTTTCACCATGTGTGATTAGCAAGCTTAATATGTTGCTGGCACTTGGCAAGTGAACATGGAGGAGACAGACAGCACAGCGTCTGTGAAAAGCATTTATAAAATCTCACAATTTTTTTCCCTTTTTCTTTATTCCTTTAGATGTTGGGAGAGCAGTTCACGCCCCGGCACACATCACAGAGAAAGTGGTGCAGCTGTTCAGGAGTAAAAGTGAGTTTACCTTCTTGGCCTCCATCCAGCAGAAGTCCTCCACATCAGGAGTCATATTCTCCATCCACGAGTCAGAACACAGGTAATCCATCTGTAATCCTCTTCATTTTGGCCTGCAGCTCCTTTTCTGCACAACTTTACTTCCACGGGTTACTGAGCACTCTCATTTTAAATTAAACCCAGAAATGAATTCTCATCTCACTCATAGCTGTTTGCAGATGGCTGTTGATGAGGTGTAGTAAAGCTAAGATCAGTGTGAGATTACTCCACTGCCCGTGTAAGTCAGCGGGTGATGGGAGGGCAAGTCAACGGGTGGAATAATGCAGCGTTTCCTCCTGTATGCTCAGGGCAAAGATAACCTTCCATGTATTATGTCTGTAAGATGAATGTGAAGCACTAAGCAATACCAAGCATGCCGATAATGTAACATTTTATTGTAGAATGCTGCATAAACAGACTTACAGCATCTCTGACTGTGGCTGTTGCACTGAAAACAAGAACATATGGCCTTGCTCCGAAGAACCACTAGAGTACAGAAGCAGGTACAAATCTTTTCTTCAATAACTTGAACATTGGTAATTTCTTCTTGGCTGTTGCAATAAGAGAATTGTTGCAATGGACAGAATTTTGCTGCAGAATTTGATGGCTGTAGGACATCATTGAGTGGCAGTAGCAAGCTCTACACCACCCCCCCACCCCCCGAGAAACTGTACAACTGTGAATTGTTTCTAAAGGGCAGGCGCCATTGATTTTCCTCCACTCCTCGGAAGGTAAAAGCCCTTAGTTCTGTAAAACATGCTTTCAAAGTGAGCGTGCAAGGGAGTGTGTATATGTGTTTGCCGGGAGTCTAGACAAAGGCAAAATCATACACAATGGGAGAGTGAGAAAGAGGGCCCCTCAACTGATGGAGAGAGGTGTGTAGGGAAAGCTAGTTCTCTAAAATGTAGTAAACAAAGCAACAGTTACTGCACTGCTCAGAAAAAAATCATATGCTAAATTGCAGTTGTTGTACTTCAGGTCAGGTAACAGTGATGATTAGTTCAACCTATAATTATAATAGGTAATAATAAGCATATGTCACATAATACAGAATTGCAACATATATCATAATAAAAACATGGGCCTTGCCCTGCTGCATCTTGACTGCTTAAATTTTTTTATATTTTTATGTGCATTTTGCTGACGATGTATGCTTTTACCTCAGTCAAGTTTTTGAATGCAGGACTTTTACCTATAATGGTTTATTTCTCTTCTTTCTCCACTGGTGTCTATGTGCATGGTTGTGCACTAATTTTTCTTCAAGCACCTACTATACAGTAGGTTATTGAAATTGAGTGTTAGCCCACGCCGCGGTTTCAAGGTGATCCTGTGAGTTGCGTTTTATTCGCCACTCTTTCTCTGTGTCTCTCTGACAGTCTCTCTCTCACTTCCTCTCTCACGTTACCTGCAGGCGTAATTGCCGCACAGCGGGCTGGCCAAACAATAGCTAAATGGAGCCAGGTGACTGTACTGTCCTCCTCCTTCAGGCACAATGACATGCACCATGTAGCATATGTAGCTCAGAGGAGTGCTCGGACAAAGCAAATGTTGCATTAAAGGCACTCAGCCACACTCAAACACACCCAGTTGTCAAATATACTGATTTCTAAGGCAGTCTATGACATTTATATTGTTCAGAAATAAGTGGTTGGGGTACGGTTGTCGACTTTTAAAGGATTTGTTCACCCATATTACAACAAGTCATATTTCTCTACTTACTACTAATGGTATGAAGCCATACACACATTGGCTTTTTTAAGCTTTGAGCAACAAGTCCTCCAACTAAAATGGAAAAATACACAATTTGTCATTGGCTTCCAATATGAGTGTATTCTGATCCAATGCCTCTGTTAGGAAGACAGCAATGTTGGTCAGTGTCTTCCAAAACTGTTACAAAAAGGATTGTTTTCTGATTTACCACAGCTATAGTTAAAGTTTACTTAGATTTGGGCACAAAAAACTAGATGGTTAGATTTAGAGAACATTGTGGTCATGCTTAAAATAAATCAGTCTTTTTTGGTATTATGATAATATAACTTTTGGACAATTGAATGTTCACATAGATTTGTTGACCCATTCATCCACCAGCCTCCTGCTTTTGAGGATTTGCGGTGATATAACAATGTCTGTTCACAGTGAGATCTGTGGATTATCGGGTAACTTGATGATGTTTGTGAAAAGAAACATTGCTGATGAGGTGGCATACTTTTCAAACGTGGACATCTCAAAATTTCACCATATACAGCTATCTCCATAACTATATACCAAATAGGTAAAAGAGAACATATGCTTTCATTCTTGTAATTTTGGTAATCTGACAAACATTTACAGATGAAACACAGACTATATTTTAGACTATTTATTTGTGTGACTGAATATACAGATATTTGATTTTCAAGACCTTTCATTATCCTTCTAATATTGTGTATTGTATCATAAAGGATATATTGGATGCAAATCTAGCCCAGCCAAGCCACAGCATGCTGGAGTTATTTTGAGACGAGCTGTTGTGTGAGTCAGACTGCCACACTGCGAGTGTAATTAAATTTGGCGAGATGGACAGAGCCTTGACTGGCTCGGTGCAGACCTGTGCTCCATTGTGACCGAGGATTTGTTCTGAACCCCTGAATCCTCTCTGAAGGCCCTATTAGAGCCCTCGGCTGATGCCCATTCTTTCCCATTATAACACAGACCTCCCATTCAGCCAGCTAACAGACAGCTAGCCGTACCACTCGGCCAAATCCAATCATACATTCCTTCTCTTTCCCTTCTTTACTTCTTCATCTTTCTCTCAGCACAATCAAACCATCCTCTCTCCCCTCCCACCTCTTCTGCCAGCTCCGCTTTCCCAATATGATAATATCCTTCTCTCCTCCCTTCTCTCATCCTCCGCTCTCCTCATCCTCAAAGTGAAAACGCCTTTTGAATGCAAGCATTTCTCGTTACCCACTGCAAAAGCAGAAGAAACTTTTTTTTTTCTTCTCGTGCCCGGCACTGGGGAATAGGAGAGAAGGTTTATTGCTGCTCCACTAGGCTGAATAGAACAAAAGGAGCCTATTTCTGCCTAGCCAGCAGTTTCCTGGGTCCAAGCAACGCTCTCATTGTCAGCATGTGGCAGCAGCTCTGTGATGAACTATCTCAAAGCCCGGTCTCTCCACTACTCTTCCCACCTGAACACTTCAACACCAAAGATGCTCAGCTTGCTCCTCCAGCTGCTCTGCTCATCTGCCTGCCCTTTGTCACTCTACAGGTTTGCCCCCTCCCCCCCTCCATGCCTCAGTTCATACGCGCCTACAGGTTCTTCTCTTTTAAGGAAGCATGCTGAGCCAAAGTTGACGTGTAGTGGGAGTTCAAAATGCAAATAGAGTGACTTGTTAGATTAGACTTTGTGGTAAAGGTTTGGGAATGTGGGTGAGCAAGCATGGGGAAGTTGGCTGCAGTAATTATTTGTTCCAGTGCAGAATCATTTTCAGATGAACAGTAAATTGAACATGGCTTGAATTGTACTACATTTTTACATGAATAAATGTAAATGTAGCCCTGATCCAGGACCTTCATATGATCACTATCCTGGACAGCTATCAAATGGAACTTTTCAGTCACTTGAGCAGGGGTTAAAGTGGGCTGGAACAATCTGGAATGACGTTTCGGCACCTTTGAATAATAAGTAAATAAGTCTGATTGGTAGTTTCACACACAATAATGTCTCCTGTTGTCATCCCTTCCCTTCAGTGGGTAGTGTGACAACGTGTATTTCATTGGATTTCACCACAGTCTACTCACCAATTTGTTCCCGGTTCATGCCACAATTCAACTCCTGTTTCATCTGTCATTCAATTTTTTGAGGAGAGGAAAGCAGAAGAGCTGAAAAGTACAGGAAAGTATCAGCCGGAGCAACACGCTCAACTGTGCCATAAACATAATCGTACGATTGTTTGCGAACTGCCACTTTCTTCACTGACAGCCGTCCGATCACCAGTGTTCTCTAAAACTCAACATTTTTCCTGGATCACTTCATATCCACTCAGTTGTTTATGGAAGCCAGTCATTCACCTCGCTGGCAGACTGGATCACTGCTGAGCAGCGTCATGCTCAATGCTGCCACTTCTGGCTAAACTGTTTTCATGTTTTCATCCTTTACATCCTTACACCCACCTGACATATATTTTTATTCCACCTTATCAATTGCTGCTGATTACCTCATCTCTGGCAAGTTAGTATTTTCAATATACCATAATAAAGTTTAATAGTATTATTAATTAGTAGTTGAACCAGTAAGAACACTTTAAATCTATCTTCATTTACAAAATTTACCACGGTTAAACCACAGCATTCTTGAATCTCTACAATCCTAGTAAAGTAAAATGTTTTCATAATAGATGGGTCTCCTTTATGTAGATTTGGATTCCATCATTCCTTCTTAAAAGAAATCTTGTTAATCAGATGAATTAACACACAGCATCTGATTCTAACACACATATAATTGCCTTGAAAAACAGGTGGGGTAATATAGCTAAGGAGTACTATGATTAATACATTTCAGTGTGGTGTGTTTATCATCTGAAACTGTTTGTTGCTGTGCTGGGCTGCCACAGTGAATCGCTGCTCTGTTTGTCTGAGCCTGTTTATTTTATGCTTAAACTCCATCTGCAGAATTTTTTTTGCCCTCGTATGGGATTTGTGTGTGAATGTTACAGACAGAAAACCTGCTGCCTTCGATTCTGAACTCCTGATCTCCCCCGTGGAGGAGGGGTGAGGGATGATCTGGGCCCTCTCACCTCAGACGGATACCAGTTTCCACACTCCACTCCCTAGATTATTCTTCGGAGGTATCTGCTCTAAGAAAAAGGATGCAATACAGTACAAATACTGACAAACAAAGATTTCCTCTGCTCCTTGGTTTTCCTCTGAATGCTGTGAACTAACATAGGCTGACCAAAATGTAGATGTTAGTTCTTCTTATCCAAAATTACAGTCTTTGTTCTGCTTATATTCAAATAGCGTTTTCCCTTAATAATTATTTCTGGTCTGTAAAAACCATTT